GCATGTCTCAGATACGGATCCAGAACTGAATTCTTTAAAACAAAATGGCCGCCAGTCGGCCATTTCAAACCCGATCCACACAAAAAATGACGTGCATCAAGGTCCTATTATGTTTAATGTATGTACCAAATTTGAACGAAATCCGTCCATGCATAACTGAGATCCGGGTCCGGAATGGTGAAAATGTGTGATTTTGATGCATTTTCGGCCTTAAAATGGCCGCTATTCGGCTATCGTTAATCGGATCATGAAAAAAATGCATGTGCATATGTCCCATATAATGTGTGATGTATGAGTGAAGTTTGAACTTAATTGGTCCATGCATGTTCGAGATACAGGTGATCACGGACGCACGCACGGACGCACACAGGGCAAAGCATAAGTCCCCGTTTTCGGACTACGTCCGAACGGGGACTAAATATGAAGCAGGGAAAACACATTAGTGCCCAACACACTCACATGTGAAGTGATCATCAATGTGCTAAGTTGACTGAGAAGAAAATAGATGAAAAAAGACCCATAATGCAAAATATTGTAATAAAAGGCTCTTCAGCTTTATACCTCAAGACAGAAGCTACTCATAATTTTAGAAAAAAATTGTTATATAAATATAAATGATGTGGCAATGTTCATTGATTTATTATGTACAGTAATTTAACTATTGTCTAATGGTAACATGAAACAACATTAAGATGTGTGTTATAGTACGTACCATAGAACACAATTTTTTTTTTATATCACTTTTTAAAACCCAGATTTTTTTAAAAATAACTTAGGATAAACAAAAAGTATACCATTAGTCACATTATATATAATTTGCTCAGCAACCAACAATTCGTAATAAGATACATCTCCACCATGGAAACTAATGGTAAAAGTGTTCTAATAATGATAAGATGACCACCTTTCCATGAATTATCAACCATTGTCCAAAACATAGACAGGTGACTCAAATCACCATCCTGACATTGGCTGTGAGTACAATTTATGGTAACGTTTCTGGGCATTTTCATTTATGAGTAGGCTTCCATCTTAAGGTCCTTCAGCTTTCACCTTAAGAAGCATAGCTGTACATCTTTGAGACTCTTCACCTTAACATCTTAAGTATTTTATATTGAGTTATAGCTCACATTTTGAAAATTTACAAAGACATTTTTCTCTGAATTACTGTAAATTTTACTTCATTCTATTATTAATAAAATAACATAATGCTGGGTCATAAGACTATATATATATGAAGAAAAATAACTTCTATCACGTAGTATCTAACAACACAAAATATACATAATTAAAGCAAAGGATACAAAATATGGCTTACTTATACATAGTATTTGACAGATATTAACTTATATTAAGCAGCAGTCAGTGCTTATGAAATAGTAACATTCTGAAGGTGGGTACATAGATAAGAAAAACAACACCATTGGCTGCTCTAGGTGATTGATTTGCATTGCAAATTACATTTGTGAGCAGAACGCCAATCAGATTGATGCTGAGCTTCATCTAATTTGAATTCAGAGATTAGATTTGTCTTATAAGGCAAGGACGTTCCAAAACCAATCAATCAAGGTGTTCCTTGCTCATTTGCATTGCAAATTACATTTGTCAACAAACACCAATCAAACTAGTGCTGAGCTAATTTGAATTCAGAGATGAGATTTGCCTTATAAGGCAAGAATGTTCAAAACCAATCAATCAAGGTGTTCCTTGCTTATTGGCATTGCAAATTACATTTGTCAACAAACACCAGTCAACTAGTGCTGAGCGGCATCTAATTTGAATTCAGAGATGAGGTTTTTCTTATAAGGCAAGAATGTTCAAAACCAATCAATCAAGGTGTTCCTTGGTCATTTGCATTGCAAAGTAGAATGATAAACTGCAAACCCCAAACCATACATAGTCTAATTTTGGAACAAAAGAAAAAATATGCTCAATAGCATGTCAGCCTATGATACTTATTCAGGAAATAACTGAAGTTATATTCCACATGAAATGCATTGCCAAACATACCCCCAAAATAATATCTTCAGGGGGAGAACTTTTTTCCAGAAAGCCTTTCAGTATTGGGCAATCCTGAAAGCACTGTCCAAATGCAGAAACTGTCAAATATGACACAAGAAACCAAATTATTTTCAATAAGAGCTCCTGAAAGTATTCCTGCTAGAGGAATAAAATTTTATATGTCTATTTCTTGGAAAGGCATACTTAATAAAGTATTGTTTTAATCTATTACTAAAGATACTGTATTAAACCAAGAGTCCTGGAATTTGTTTTTAACTGAATTTACAATCTCTATTTATGTAATGCATGCACCATCATGTAGTAGTTTTAAGGTCTTTTTTTTTTTATTTTTGGAAAAGTTGGGTAATCTTATAGATTTATTCATACTCATATTATTTTTTATATTTGTCTTTTAAGGGGGAAAATATTAATTCAATTATTATAAATATAAATAATAATAACACAGCAATATAATAAGAAAGCAGCATAGAATAATACATGAGGGTACGTCTTGGGGATTTCTGACTTCAGTTTGTTTCTTTGGAAGCACACACATCTGTGGCCAGAATTATTGCAATATGAAATGAAGAAACTGCAACTGTACAACAAGTTTACAATTATGCTGCATTGGTCAAGCACAGCGCTTGTCATCATCTCCGGTGGGGAGGCCATGATGCAGTAACCTAGTAACGGTGAGCATGATCATCATCAGGATTTCATATCATGTACCTCATGATCGCTCTTAGTGCGTAGAGAAGCTCTGCTTGCATACGTGCCTCCAATACCATCAAATTTACATGCACCTGAATAGTGAAGATAATCAGAGAAAAAAACAATGTAATTCAGAGAGTGGAATGATGCTGTACACTTTCTCAAGACAAAGTGATAAAAGTTAATACCATACTGCTAACAATAACAAATTGTGGTCAATGACTGAAGTGTGTCTGTTGTCATAAATGTGTCAGTGATCAAAATGAGTGATATTTTAGTATATAACAAATGTAAGATTTGGTTTACAAACACTTCTGATAGATCAAAAAAGGTACTATACTTGTTCTATTAATGTGTAAGGCATGTACTTGTGACAGATGTGCATGGCCATGATGAACCAGTCAATTGAAATTCAGAACCACCCCCCCCCCCCAACCCCCCCAACCCCGGAACTGAGGCCAGGGTAATGTACTACAGGAGATCTTGATTTTACCCAAGAGCCATGTTTAAGAATTGGAACAATGCCTAAGGGGCAGGGGTATGTCAAGAGTGTGACATTTAGTGGGTCTTGTGCTTGTTGCCTCTTGTGCGTGTGTGTGTGTGTGGGGGGGGGGGGTCATTTGAATGGTGTAACTAAAGTTGTTTTAAGTTGTCCTTCATTGTAACACCAGTGAAGGCCAATATCAGGTCACACCTAGAACCATCAACAAATATCAAAACTCTATAGCAAAGTACTTCAGTACCAAAATGCTCTGATGGAGTATTTGTACAATCAGTCAAGGACACAGTAGATTAATGTTGGTTTGTATGATTCATTGCATTGATAAACAACTGATAAACATCTACAATTCAAACTGTAACAGCCTAATGACTGACACACAACCTGACTTCAAGGCCTGTTAATGAGTTGGATCACACATGGATCACCAACAGCATAGTGGTTGTCACGTAGTCCCATGATTGGTACACAGTCAGCTGGCGCACATCTGATATAATAAAATAAATGCGATATTTACTATATGGGGGCCGCCATCTGGAATGACGCATAAAACTAAATAAGAGACAAGTTGTGAAACGTGTTTTTCAGATTCCTACAAATCAGGACAAAAATATCAATATTTCACAAAAATACGGTCCGTTGGTGTTATATTAAGCCAACCGATAACAAAATTCAGCCGAATTCATCGTTTATGTGTGGAAAAATCCCTTGCATACGAACACCTAATTACGCGAAGAACCTGGAACACTAAGTCGGGGTATTTTGAAACCGAAATTG